CTGGTTTGTACCCTACACGATATACTCGTGTGACTTATTCGGGCTAGATGCATTGCATCAGAAAACAACTGGGTTGAAGACACGCATCTACCTCATAGTAAACCACAGCTATGAAGTTTCACATCACCGTTGTTTTTGGCCAAGTACATGTGATCTCTAAACTCGCGGTAATTTGCACCATCCGCTTCGACGGTTGAACCAGTGGAATTCTGGGCTTCGACCAACACCTAAACCGGACACCTGCTAGCCCGCACGGGACATGAATTGGTCGCCTGGGCGTTTGAGCCTGAGATCAAACTACTGCCTGCCTTGGAATGAGGTAGGCCCCGACTCATACACGGCGCGGCACCTGGGCCAATGTGGTGGTGGCGTGAGTCCTCATTACGGCCCTGTCCGGTAAGTGTGTCATCTCAAGGACGTCGAGTTTGTGTTGAAAAATCAGCTGAGTTGTCTGTGCCGTTCCAGGCGCTAGTGTTGGCCAAAATAGGATGCCCTACTGGTTGTCGGTCGGGCTGCGCTGTCAACTGGGTCGCGGTATAACGAACTACTTGGAGTCAAGCGATAGGCTGCTCGTTATTTGGTAAGTATTGGGCTACGGGGACTGAATTCCCAGAGCGGTACTAGAAGTCGTGCTCTGAAGGACATACAATCAGTGGAAACGGTTAATTGGATTAAAGGATGTTCAGTGATGACATTATCCAAATAAAGCACGTGACTGCCTACTGAATTTGATAAGTAGGTGAGTTAGGACAATACTTGTCGGGTGGATCGTCCTATTCGGTGCTTACCCAAAGAGTAGTAAGCGACTGACAGGGAGAGAGGGAGGTTTTCAGAGGGTTACGAATTCGCAGACCTGGGATAGATTGGTGGTCCGAATAGAGGTTAGAAACTCTATCCTGTTTTGCTGTCAAACTAGAGAGAGGGGCGAGAGTGTATGAGGTTGTGACCAGCAGCGAGGCAAACGAGTTTTCATTGCTGGGACATGTGCTCAAACGCTGGTGTTGAACATCGAGCTGGTAAGCCCTAAGAATAGTAAAGCTTTTAGCAACCATATGAGTAGTGTGTAGTATCAATATCGAAGTCGTGATACTGCAAACGCCGCGCGAACCGAGACGGCAAGCCTGTCAAGAGATGCTTCAAGCTTATTCGATCGGACAGCTCAACAAACACGAGTGCTCGTCAAAGATTTTTGGGACACACCCAGAATGTCCAATTAGAACAATGCAGATGCATTGGGACACCCACATCATATGGTTGCTGGATGTACAAACTTTCTTGCATTTAAACACCTGGCGGAATCAGCATCCTGTTTAGTACAGTGAACTCTGCCCGATGGAAAATTCCGATCATCAATTTGTGGGACTGTTTGATGGCGAACCAGGAAGTTACTGCAGACCGCAAACGGTGCTAAATCAGCACTAAACACTGGTTTATGAACGCCATAAAATCCTGAGGAAGAACGCCCGGGTGAGGATGGGGAACGGAAACAATGTTGGAGAATTAATTCATACATCCCTATGCCCCTATGGGAGGTGATCGTGAACAAAGTGCCTGCTCGCCATCGAGATGACTGTATCTGGGCCTCGTACCAAAACGGAATACCACCGGTGGGTGGGATTGAGCCACCGAATATCGGTTTAGCGTCAGGTGTATTGTTCATTACTTTGGCATTTGGAATTCCCCACGTTTCTTCTGTCCCTATTTGTTATATCCGCTCCACTTTTGAGTTTAGTGCGTTTGTGTGAACTGGCATTTGTTTATCCCTACCATTTTACTCATTTGACCTTGAGATCATGCTGCCTTTTTGTGGCTGACCTTATTCACAAGTGACTATCTCACGTGGGAGCCTGTTTGCTAATTTGGTTCGTACTTTTATAGTACAGGTGGACCATTTGTATCGGACGAATATCTACTGTGGAGGTTGGTATACTTTGTGAATTGATGTCCTACATTATTAGTATCGTATAGAAACCCAGCTCTGACTTTTTGTTTTTCTTTCCTGGAAGTTCTGGTGTAAGGGTGATACTACTGATGGGGGCACGCTGTCCTACATTTTAGTATCGTATAGAAACCCAGCTCTGACTTTTTGTTTTTCTTTCCTGGAAGTTCTGGTGTAAGGGTGATACTACTGATGGGGGCACGCTAGTAGTATGTTTCTCGTAAATCCGCTTTGCGTCTCCTGAAAAGTGAGATCTATTACGGAACTTGCGAAGTCGCATGTGCTTGGATTTCAGCAACAGTCATTGAATATCCAGGAAAGTTGAGGAAGACGCGTTCAAGAGAAGATGAATGTTCAGTTTTTGTAAATAAGATGCAAATGAGAGTTTTGCTTCCCTGTCCAATAGTCT